TCGCGTGCTGATACGTGAAAACCACCTATGCCTAGGGTCTAAGTTTGAAATCTTTAGCTCATAAATGCGCAGAGAATACCCTTGCAAAGTTTCAGCTCTCTATCTTATCTGGTTTTCCAGATCGCCTCCCCCGCCAAAGAATTTGCATATTTTTTTTAAGGCGTCCATGATTGGCACCAGGCGTACGCGAGTGACGACATTAAAACGGGAAGGTCCCGCACGGTGCAGACACATACTCTCCAGGTTTCAGCTTTCTAGTTTTTCTGGCTCTCGAGCTGAAAATGGGCGAAAAAAGTGCAAACACACAGATACACACGTACACACACATACTGCCTCTTGCCAATATGCGTTTTGGCAAATATGCGAATTGCAAAAACGCATACTGAGAAGAGGCTGTGTGTAGATGTGCGTGTGGGTGTGTGTGCGGGTGTGCGTGGGTGTGCGGGTGGGTGTGTGTGTGTGTGTTCCCACTTTTCGTCACCCATTTTCAACTCAAGAACCAGAAAAGTTAGAAGGCTGAAAATCTGGGATGTGCCCATATCATGCGCGATTCTCCTGTTTTAATATCATCCCCACGGGCGCCTGAGTGCCGCGTACGGACGCTTTAAAAAAAATATGCAAATTTTTTGGCGGAAAAGCGATCTCGGGAACCAGAAAACGTAAGGGGCTAAAACTTTGTAGGGATATTTCCAGTGCATGTGTTAGCTAAAGATTTCAAATTCTGCCCCCAGGTATGCATAGTATTCACGTAAGGACGTATGAAAATTTTTGAGGGAAGATTGCTAACTCGGGAGCCAGGAAAGCTAAAAAGCTGAAATTTTGGGGGAATGCTTTCAGTCGCTCCCCATAGCACGATTTGACTGATTCTTTCGTCCCTCATTTCGCCCCCAATTTGAATTTTGAATCTGAAGGAGTCTGACTTTTTTGTCCCGACCCACATTAGTTTTCGATAATTGGCCAACGCACGACGACGAGAATATTTTGAACACTCAGTGGCTTACTAATTAAAAAAATTGGCCAACGCACGGGCTGCCAGTGCGAAGATGCGTTTTTTGCATGGTTCCCCGCAGTTTCTGTTGCTACCGGCACCGGTTTTTTCGGTAAATGCTTCTGGCTAAACAACTAAGACTGGCCGCCAGAACTGTCAGGAAACATCCCCTTAAAATTTCAGCTTTCTAGCTTCCGTAACCCCTGAGCTAGCAACTTACTGAAACAAAAATTTTCACGGGCCCGTGCATGTTTACCAAACATGCCTAAGAGCTGGGTTCGAGCTGAATAAAACTTAGGCGGACGGGGTATATCTTCTTAAAATTACATTCCCTTAGCTTCTCAGGTAACTGAGTTATCAATTTACCCGAAAAAAATTTTGGCGAACTCGTACGCGGGTACCACATTTGCCCGGGGGCTGGCTTTGAACCCGCTAATGCCCAGTTGGGTGGGGAACATTACCCCAAGATTTCAGCTTTCCAGCTTCTCAGATCCCCGAGTTATGAATTTGCGCGGGAAAAATTTGGGGGGTGGGGCACACGCGGGTACCACGCTTACCCGGGGGCTGGATTTGAGCTCATTAGCACCTACATGGACGGGGAACATTACCTAAAATTTCAGCTTTCTAGCATCTCAGAACCCCGAGTTATGAACTTACCCGAAAAAAATTTTGGCGGGCCCGTACGGGATTACCGCGCTTATCCAGGGGCTGGGTTTGAGCCCACTAATAGTAGATTGGGCGGGGAAATGGTACCATGCTTACCCGGGGGCTGGGTTTGAGCCCACTAATACCCGCTTGGGCGGGGAACATTAAGGGGGCTCGTGCGGGGGTACCACGCTTACCCGGGGGCTGGGTTTGAGCCCACTAATAGCCACTTGGGCGGGAACATTACTCCAAGATTTCAGCCTTCTAGCTTCTCAGATCCTCGAGTTATGAGCTGACCCCGAAAAAACTTTGGGACAGATTTCAACCTTTCTTGGGTTTGAGCCCACTAATAGCCGCTTTGGCGGGGAACATTACCCCAAGATTTCAGCCTTCTAGCTTCTCAGACGTTGTGAAGCTGACCCCAAAAAAACTTTGGGGGGCCCGTACGCGGGTACCACGCGGGTTTTGGCGCCCATTTTAGGGATTGGGGGCGACCCCAAAAAAACTTTGGCGGGCCCGTACGCGGGTACCACGCGGGTTTTGGCGCCCATTTTGGGGACTGGGGCGGTACGTGCATGTAGATTAAGTTCCCGAAATTTCAGCCCCGCAACA